CCCAGCACCCACACGGTGGCTAACAACTGTCTGTAAGTCCAGTTCCAGAGGATCTGATGCCCTCTTCTGACCTCTGCAGGCACTGTATGACACAGGTACACGTACATACACACAGGCAATATACTCATACACATAAGATAAAAACAATAAATAAAATATTTTTAAGTGAGAATTGGTAAGCTGAAGGTAAGAGTTTAAGGAGAAAAGAGAAGGTACAGAAGAGAAGTATTTCTGATGAACCGAAGACATGGACTGATTCCCTGAAACCATGAAGAGCTCAAATGAGGGTCTTCATCAATTTAAGACAAAACCAGTTACATGGTTGAGTGTTTTCTCCCCAGCTACATACAGATGAGGAGAGTTAGATTTAATCAAGGTTTGGCTTGCTACCTGAGTAAACAGAGCTAAAGGTAATAAAGGAATTGAAAAGATAGATGCACTTAACTTAAATGAAGTTATGTCCCAATAAGCCCATGTAAATTGAAAATACTGTAAAAAATTACACACATTACATCTAACACACCAAACACCGTATATCCTTACAACACAGTGTACCTCAGAACTGATTGTTTCTCTTTGTCATTGCATGACCGATGGAGCACAGTGGCTTACTCTGTCCAGCATCTTGAGAGAGTGGGATAGCTTATTAATCAAAACCTCAAGATTTGAAGTATGTTTCTATAGAATGTGTGTTACTTTCATACCACATAAACTAATAAAATCATAAAGTTGAAGTTTAGAAGTCAAACCATCATGTTAGGAATGCTTCCTCATATAATTATATCAATCTTTATCTACATCTCCTGAAGAAATGATTATAATGATGGTTAAGTAATATAAACTGGATAAATACAGGAGTGAAGGGATATGAGTAAAAATAGTGAAGGGAAGGGAATCAATGGATTGGAAAGACCATGGGTCAAGGAATTGTGGGGTCAGCGTACTAAGAAAGAGATAGGAAGTGATGATTGTCTGGAATTGTGATCATGAAAGAGTTGCACTTCTCAGCAGCACCAAGTTCAAACTTGTGAACAGGAATCTTCATATTATCACACAAGGCCCTGAACTCACAGAACCCTGTTCTTGGTTTAACTCTAGTTTGTCACTATGTCAAAATTAAAAAGAAAAAGAAAATAAAACTTCAAAGGGCCTTATGCTTTCATTTTTCTCTTGGTCCTGCAAATGACAACCAGTGTTGGTTATGAGCATGAGAATGGGCGGCTGAGGTGGGTAGAGGACAGGATCACTGGAGAGGAGTTCAAGGAGCTAGAAATCAGGGGATTGAACAATCTATACATGATTTGAAATTGTCAAAAAGTCATACAAAAAACAGTTGGAGATAGCAACCATCAGCCAAGAGCCAACATCTGGAGGTATGAGGTGTGATGGCTAACCTTCACTGTCGACTGGATTTAGAATCACATAGGAGACACACCTCTGGGCATGTCTGTCAGGGCATTTCTGGAGGGTTTGGACTGAGGGAGCAAGATCCACTTCTGATTATGGGTCTGGGGACCTGGAATGAATAAAAAGGAGAAATTAAGGTGAGCGACAGCATTCCCCTGTCTCTGCTTCCTGAGTGTGGACACAGTGTGATGAGCCACCATGCTTTCCCTGACAAGGTGGAATGTATCCTCCCTTAAACTTATGAGCCAAAACAAACCCTTTCCTCCTTAAGTTGCTGTTGTCAGGTATTTTGGCACAATAATGAGAAAAGCAACTAATATAAGTGACAATAACTCGGGGCTTATGGGGTCAACAAGGAGGTAAAGTAACATAGTGATATGGAAGACTAAGCAGGAGGACCAGCCCAGGACCTGGAGGGAGAGTGTCAACAGCAGAGGGGTATAGAGACTCAGGTCCGTGTGGCTGCCTGCAGCAGCCTGTGTTCTATTCAGAGGTCTCCAAAGAGGTGGTGCTGAAAATCTTGCACTCACGGCAGAAAAGATTTTCAGGATGAGTCAATCCGAAGCAGAGATAAGCTTTATTAAGAGATTTCTAATGCAGATTTAAGCATGGGGTTGATAGAGAGGCACTCAGAGAAAGGATATGGCGTACCTACGTATGTGTGTTGGCTCTTTAAGAGGGAGCTGTAACTGTCTTCAAAATGACTGACAAACAGGGACAAGGGGTATGACAAGATCAACTGGAATCCAAGAGAAAGTAGAAGCAAGACTGTGACAGCAAGGTTGGAAGGCGCTCCCTCCTTGCCACGGCACTGTAGGTAGAAAGCCCTGTGGGGAGGGAGGGGAGCTGGTCATTTTACAAACCTTTACTGTAAGTGCACACTGGAAGAAAAGCAAGTAGTATAGATATGTCTTTATTTTTAATAGATATAATCATGTATCTCAGCCCTTTTCCTGCTGTTATATAACTAAACACTTGAGATTGGGCAGATTATAAATACTAGAAATTGATTTCTCACAGTTGTAGAGGCAGAAAGTCCAAGGTCAAGGTACTTGCAGGCTTGGTGTCTGATGAGGTTTTTGCTCTCTGCTTCCAAGATGGCACCTGATCCTCAGAGGAGATACACTGTGTCCTCATATGGTATAAAGGGCAGAAGGGCCAAGCAATTCTGTGAAGGTTTTTTTAAAAAATGGCACTAATCCCATTCATGAGGACAGAACATCAATGACTTGCCATAGGCCCTGTTACTTTCTAAAAAAGATTTTATTTTAAATTTATTTTATGTGACTGTTTACCTGCCTGTATATAAGTGCACCATGTGCATACAATGGCTGTGGAGGCCAGAAGAGGTCAGATCCCTTGGAACTGGAGTTACGGAGTATTGTCAGCCACCATGTAGGTACTGGGAATTGACATATGTCCTCTGCAAGAGCAGCCAGTGCTCTTAACCACTGAGTCATCTCTCCAGCCCAAGGCCCCGTTTCTTAATACTACCACAATGTGGATTAAGATTCAACGTAAATGTTGGAAGAACACAAACATTCAAGTCATAGCATCATATCAAGTGGCTATTAATCTCGCTGCTTTGTAATCTTGTACAGGGTTTTTCTGGTTGTTGTTGTTGGGTTTTGGTATACATTCCAAAATAAATGTATATAGGTATCACAAGTCCAGTAAGTCAATTTCTTGTAAAGAAATTACTTGTAATTCTTGGAAAGAATTACTGCAGCATGGTTTGTTATTTCATTTAAAATATTTTGCAAAACAGACAAAAAGGCTTTATTATTTGGATAATGTCTGTCTTTACAGCTTAGAGAACAGCATTTGAGGCTAATTAACATAGAACCTCCATTTGTTTTAGTATTTCCTCATCCCTTAATGAGGATTTTCTTTTTTCTTTTCTTCCCCCCGCTACCCTTTGGTCTTTTTGAGACAGGGTCTCCCTATAGCCAGCTGACCTGGAACTCACTTTGTAGACCAGGCTGGCCCTGAACTCACAGAGATCTGCCTATCTCTGCTTCCTGAGTACTGGGATTAAAGGCATGCACCACCATGCCCAGCATGAGGATTTTCTTAAACTGAAAATTTAATATATAATTTTTTAAAAATTTACTTAAAAATTAACATATAAGATCACCTATGCATTGTAGCCTTTGGTTAGATTCTAATTTGAGCAATACTTCTCTGAAGAAATATTTTCCAGACCTCTTCTTAGACTATGGATACTTTGCCCCATGGGGGAAAGACAAAAGATCCATGTCAGACTGTTTCTGGCTTGCCATGTGGTTTGGGGACATCTGCTGGCTTGTTCTGGCCTTAGGAAATCCCACAGGAAAGACTGGGATTTGAAGTCAGTTGCCAAAACCTCTAGTCAGGTAGTGCTGATGCCTCACATAGCCTGTCACCTGGACCTAAAAGCTGGAAGAAGCTTGCTGACAGGCTGTTTCTGTTATAAGTTTAGTCATTTGATTCTTTGGCATGGAAGGAATGTGTCATCGGATAGTCAATGCCTTTGATTCTCAGTTTTTATATTGTAAAACTTCTATGTCCAGCAGTTAAGAGACTTTTTTTTTTTTGGTCTTTTTGAGACAGGGTTTCCCTGTAGCCCCAACTGTCCTGGAACTCACTATGTAGATCAAGGTGGCCTTAAACTCACAGAAATCTGCCTGCTTCTGCCTCCTGAGTGCTGGGATTAAAGGCGTGCCACCACCACGCCCGGCCAAATTGTATCTTTTTTTTTATGTGTATGAGTGTATTGCCTGCATGTATGTGAGTGTACCCATGTCATGCAATGCCAAGGAGGTCAGAAGAGGGCTTCGGATTCCCTTGGAACTGGAGTTAAGGATGGTTTGTAGTAGCCATGTGGGTGCTGGGAATCGAACCTGGGTCCTCTGCAAGAGCAGTCAGTGCTCTTAACCGCTGAAGGCTGTTAAAAAATGATGTATATTATCATTGATGACATCTTGTAATTGAAGGATTTATGCTATTTGTCATTTTGAAAAGTACTAGATCAGATCTGTTTTCTGAATTAGGTTTAAATGACTTAGCTAATGGTTTCTGTTCCAATAAGGAACAAGAGCACATTGTTGGGTTGGTGAGATGGCTCGGGAGGTAAAAGCACTTTCACAGAGCCTGATGACTTGAGTTCAATCTTGGAATCCACATGGTAGGAGGAGAGAACCAATTCCTGCAAATTGTCCTCTGACCTCCACATGTGTGCTATGTGGTGTGCATTCAGTCAAGGTCAAGTCATTTAATACAAAGTACAGGTGAGGCTAAAAGGTATTGTGTGAGAAGTATCAACTTGGAGCTATGTGAAATATCTAAAGAGGCATCAAGACACAGATGCTATGAATTCTTTCCCCTTGTCTGCTTTGCTAGAGCCTACACTCCATCATCTCCTAAAAGCTCCACATTTCAAAACCGCTATTTCTTTCAAATCCTCACAGATGAAAGAATCTGAGGATAACCAATGGATTCTTGTGATCCAAGACTGAAAAAATGTATTGCATATAAGATATAAAATATGATGACAGCTGTTACATAGATCTTTGTATAAGAATATTATGATTGACAGAATGATTTTTCCACAGGTTTAAAAATTTTGTCTATACATATCGAATCTTCAGAGAGAAGTATGGATATTACAAGATACAGGTAAGACTACATAAGGACTGCCACAATAGTGTGAAAGTCAGGAGAGGAGAACCTTAGGCGATCCCTTGAACCCTAGATGTGACCTGGAGGAGGCATTCTAAAACACAAGCACCATACCAAGTTAAATCAACAGTCAGCTTTGCCTGACTCTGAAATAGGAGGGTGCTGGAGTTTCGGTCCACTTTTCAGTAACTCTGGTTATTCCACACTACAGAGACACTCAAGCCCATTCCTATTGAGTTCAAAAGAATGGGCACCTAAATTCCATGTAAAACCACTGTTGATTTGAAAACTAAACAGTGCTCCAGGATAGGTGTGGGAAGGAAGGTGCAGAGAGGTCTGAATGCTCAGGATAAATATTTTCATGGTTTGAAAATGTAAAAGGAGACATCAGATAACTGCAAGTTTTAGGGAGTTCTTTGATTTTTCTGGTTTGCTAACTCAACAGGGAAATCTTGCTTCTTTTGAACTTATTTAACTGCTTTAAGAACTAAGTATAATAAGCTGGGAGTGTTGGCGCACGCCTATAGTCCCAGCACTCGGGAGGCAGAGGCAGGCAGATCTCTGTGAGGTCAAGGCCAGCCTGGTCTACATAGTGAGTTCCAGGACAGCAGGCTATAGAGAGACCCTGTCTCAAAAAAAAAAAGAAAGACCCGGAGGGGGGCGGATAAGTATAATAAAATAAATGTAATGGAATTCTTAGTTACTAAGAAAGTCTTGAAATAATCTTTCTGAAAAAGAACTTCAATATGCTCATATTCACTGTGAATATCTGAAAGAGACAAGAATATACAGTAATTCCCAAACAACTTAAGCATCTAATTTTTCTTTTGCTGAGGCAAATTCTTGAGGGAATAGGTGGAATTTGAATAAATTCAAATAAGTTAACAAATAGCACTGCACAAAAGTTAATCCTCTCATTTTAATCATTATAATGTGCTTGTGTAATGTCTTTGCTTTTTGAAACTACTAAATTACTTAGGATTGATTAAAGGGATATCATGCCTGTAACTTAAGCACTTAATTTTTAAAAAAGAATATGCATATGTAAACTGGGTGTTGGCTTGTACTATAATCCCAGCAGTTAGGAAGTGGAAGCAGGAAGATCCCAAATTGAAGATCATTCATCCTCAGCTGCATAGTGTATTTGAGGTCATCATGGGCTACATGAGACTTTGTCTCAAAAACAAAAATGTATATATGCTCATATATTTTAGAGATAGAATAAAAAGCAAACAAATATAATATTATATAGAAATGAATGGAGAATATATGGGGAATTCGTTTTTATTATTTTTTCCGTTTTGTGTCTGAATTTACTTCAAAATAAAATACCTCTAAAAAGCAACTCATTTTGGAACTTTTTTCCTTTTTATTGTATACATTGGGAAAGTCTGTATACTTTCTCATTCTCTGTTTTGTCTCTTGTCTGGACAGAACAGAGGTCTTCAATGGCATCTAAGTCAGATGCAGGGGCATTTGGCTGAGGGGTGGCTCTGCTCTCACAGGCCTGCAGTGGATGATTCTTTGGGCTGATATGACCCCCTTCAAGGGAGGCATGCCCCCACAGATCACTTCGGTGACAGCCTATGTCTCTGTTTTGGAGGTTAACCACACTGCGCATACCTTCTGTTTACTGCCTGTCTCTATAGCTGACATAGGGCAAAGTGAAAACCACAGGGTTGATCAAGAAAACCAAGTACAAGAAATGAGCGGAAGCAAATTCTTTTTATTTTCAAGTTATTTTTTAAAATATTTTATTTATTTTTTTATTTTACATGTACTAGCGTATTGCCTGCATGTGTGTAAGTGCACCCATGTTGTGCAATGTCCAAGGTGGTCAGAAGAGGGTATCGGGTCCCCTGGAACTGGAGTTACAGATGGTTGTTAGCTGGGAATTGAACCTGGGCCCTCTGCAAGAGCAGCCAGTACGCTTGACCTCTCAGCCGTCTCTCTGGACCCTTACACAAATTCTTTAAGGTCCTACTGGCCAACAGTATTTGGTTTCTAACTGCTATTTCTGTGATTTCACTCTGACTTGTGAATAGTCCTACTTTCATTTTAAATGGAGACTTGTTTCCGATTTGCTTTCCCCACATGGAAATTTCATATGCATCATATAGGTAAATTATGTATTTTGCATTTCCCATCAGAAGTCCACCTATTTGCCTATTACTATGGCAAAGTGTGGCAGCAGGGTAGAGCCTGCCTTAGATCTAGGATGAGGGGTTCCTGCTACAGTGAATCTACAATAAGACCTGCCCTAGACAAACTTGCCAAACAGGAGGTTAACTCAATTCTGTGGACTGAATTGAAAATCCATTAATTAAAAGTTCTATTTACTCAGGGTATCTTGAGTCAGAGGCTGTTCTTAAAACTGAGGCATCACTGTGAAATGCAAGTGTTGGAACTCTAGACATGAGTTGCTGGCCTCTTGCTTTCTGCCTGCTAACTCTCGGAAGCAGCCCTGAAAAACCACTGTTGCAACAAGTGTTGCATTGCACCCACAATTGCACAATGATGAGTAACCTTTCTTATATTTTCACAGACTGTGGAAGGTGCTCCAAAACAGATCTTCCCAAACCTAGAGGAATTAATCTCCAAATATGAGAAGCCAGGTCAAGGGCTGGTGGTTCACCTTTCAAACCCAATAAAGAGAAAGAGCCTCTTCCCAACGTGGAGAAGATTACAGCTAGAGATGAGTACTATTTATGGTAAGAATCTTGACACAGAGGTCAGAAAGGACCTCTAATACTGTATCTACTCATGGCCTGATCTGTAGAATCAATAGAAATCAATGACTTTTTTAATGACATTACTCTAGAAAGCTTCATCCTGCTAAAAGCAATTTCCACTATGTTGAGAAACAGCATCTTCTAGCTCCTGCAGTTGGCCAAAACAGAGCTGTCTGTGCTGAGACAGCCAGGAAGGAGAGCAAGTGAGGTTCCTGGGCAAAAAGCTGATTTTCAATCCATTCTGTGACCGTGTGCAGTCCACTTAAGTTTGGGAATAGATGAACATATGGGCGGATTTTCACTGAGAAAATCATGTCAACTCCTCCACCAAGGCTTATCCTGTTAAATTTTGCTCCGTCTTTGGTAAGCATTCCTTTATAAAAATAATGGAGAGAAAATTATTCCACATCATATATCCCTAAGGCATAGAGGATGGTTAGAAATTATGGGAGCAGACAGTCTAATGGAGAACTCTCACATCAGACTTCGAGTTTACCATTACCTTTGAAATCTGCTCTTGGAAAAAGATCTGGAATCTGTCCATTGAAACATATTTTGAATTGAACACAGACTTTCAAAGACATTTCTGGTTCAATTAGATTTCTCAGGATGAAATGTATGGCTACATTCTGCATGAGAGAGATTACAGTTGTCAGTGGGAGGTGACAATGATCAGAGTTGATGTGCTAACACGAGAGAAGGACCAGAGAACTCGAGTTCTGAGGGAGCCTGCAAGTATGCCACACCTATGCTCTTCTCTCTGAGCAGAGTTGTCCTTCAGGCTGCTACGCCAAACTTCTTGCCTCTCTAACAAGATTAAGTGTGGAGTATGTATTAGTTACTTTTAGTTGCGCTGATAGAACACTCTGACCAAAACCAACTGGAGGCAGAAAGGGTTTATTTTGCCTTGTACTTTGAGGTCCTACTCCATAATTGAGAGCAGTCAGAGAAGGAAATCAAGGTAGGAACCTGTAGGCAGAATCCATGGAGGAACACTGTGTACAAGCTTACTCTCTGGATCACTCATTCACCCACTCATGCTCAGTTAACTTTCTTATATAGCCCAGGCCACCTCCCTGCCTAGGGATGGTACCACCCACAGTAGGCCAGGCCTTCCTCCATCAATCATCAATCAAGATAATGACTCCCAGACATGGCCACAGGCCAATGTGATCTAAGCAATTCTTCAATTGAGGTTCCCCCTTCTTAGGTGACTTTAGTTTGTGTCACATTGACAATAAGAACTAACCAGCAGAGTTTCAATGATTAAAATAAAACTTGCCTATCACTGTTGTTTCTCTGTCCCTTCATTACCATGCAGGGAAATGTGTATCCATTATAACACATCACTTTCTATAGGTCTGGCCACACATGTAGTCTCAGCTCTTTTCTCCAAAACTTACATCATCATCATCATCATCATCATCATCATCATCACAAATATTAAGGGCTGGGGAGAGAGCCCAGTTGGTAAAATACTTGGCTTGTAAGCATGAGGACCTGAGTTTGACCACCAGAACCAATGTTTAAAAACAGCTGAGCATGGTACATACTTGTAAGAAGTTCTGAGGAGACAGAAACAGGTGGATTACTGGGGCTCTCTGACCAGACAACCGAGCTTAGTTGGTAAGTTCCCAGCCAGTAAAGACCCTGTTTAAAAAAAACAAGGTGGATGGTTCCTGAAGAATGACATCTGGGGTTGCCCTCTGACCTCCACACACAGAGGTACACATGTGCACGTGAACCTGTATCTGCACACACTTGTTTATCTGAACAAATGCACAAATACACACATACATGTTGACGCACAGATACAGCATTAAAAAATGAATACAAGGTGGCAGGCTCAGACCTTTGTGCAAATCCAAATGAGTTGCTAGGGGTGGTTAGGGTGGTGGTAGTATTGTCTGTGCTGTGATAAAATACTCACACATCCTACAAATAGAAAGAGTCCCTGAAAGATCTTCCTAAAGAACTTGGCAGGTGTCTCATCACATCAATTTTTCATGTATGGTCAGACCTGGCAGAGTGAGCTCCCAGACACTTAGCGAACAAAGGGAAAACACCCTGCATCCTCTTCCTCCCCTGGCATTTGCCTCTTTAGTGCAAGCTCCAGATAGTGCTACTCTGAGGAAGCACAGCATTTCCACTAGTGACTGCAAACACCGACTACTAGATACAGAAGCTAGACTTAGCAAGAAACCTTTGTTTTCCAGGAAAGTTCCCAGTGGTACTTCAGTCTTTGAAGGTATCACTTTGGTGGGCTGTTGACATTGCTCTGTGACTGGTCTTTCCCTCCAGTGGGACTGGCTGATGTGGCTTCTGGGTATGGTGTTTCAAGGCTGTCCTCTGCTTTTCCCACAGAGAACAATGACCAGGAGTATGTGGATGTCTTGCCTTGAACACAAGGACAAAGCAAGCTTGGGAAGAGACGGCAGAACCCTCACCTGCCACCACCTTTGCAGGTGTAGATCCGAAATGCCAATTTCTAGAGGACAATTGAGACTCCTGATCTGGGTAACAGGATCCTCTTCAGCCTCAGGAAGTCACTTCCCACGTGCCTGCCTCTTGGCACAGGCCACAGGAAGTTCCAAAGCAGCTCCTTACCTCACTACACTTTCTCAGAATAGGACAGCCTGAACCTACTCTCCTGACTTGTTTAAGGGACTACCACTGCATCATGACTAACACTGTCTTTCCAATAGGACAGCCAGAAGGGGAGCTTCACACAGAGGAAAGAGCACTTGGCAAAGTGTTCAGAGCTCAAGTGCTGTCGCTCTGTTACTTTGGATGAATCTTTCCATTTCTCATTCTCAATTTCTTCATCTGTGAGAAAAGTGGTTAGATGGGTGACACACACTGCTTGGTCCCTCTGTTGAGCCTGTCTGGGGTGGAGCTGGGGTCTGCATGAGAAAAGTGGTTAGATGGGTGACACACACTGCTTGGTCCCTCTGTTGAGCTTGGTTGTCTGGGGTGGAGCTGGGGTCTGCGTACAGGGACGGGATGGTGTCTCAGCACACCAAAGCAGCCAGGGTGTTCTCTTCCTGTGCTGGCCTTGGTCCTGGTGAGGGCTGCGACCTACTCATGCTCCCTCTTCTTTCTGCCTGGGCAAGGCCTGTCTCTTCTTTTAAGATTGATCGCTGCGAGGCATGGTGGCACACACCTTTAATCCCAGCACTTGGGAGGCAAAGGCAGGCGGATCTCTGGGAGTTCAAGGCCAGCCTGGTCTACATAGTGAGTTCCAGGACAGCTGGGGCTATAGGGAGACCCTGTCTCAAAAAGACAGAAAAAAAAAAAAAAGATTGATCACTGATAGAAATTGAATACATATATATGCATATATACACATATATGCAATGTTTGTAAATATAAATATGTATATACAGATATGTATATATAAATCATTATACTTTTTGGAAGGGACAGAGTCTCACTCTGTGTCACAGCTAGATTCAGTTTTTAACTTGATATACCTGGGAAGAGGGAACCCCAACTGAAGAATTTCCTCTATCAGATCATCAAGTGGGAATGCCTATGAGGCATCTTCTCCATTTATAATCGATGGAGCAAGGCCTAGCCCACAGTGGGCAGCTCCACTGCTGGGCAAGTGGTCCTGGATTGTATAAGAAAGGCAGCTGAGCCAGAAGAAGCAATCCAGTAAGCAGTGTTCCTCTGAGGTTTTTGCTTCAGCTCCTGCCTCCAGGTTCCTTCCTTGAGCACCTGCCCTGGCTTCCTTTGATGATGGACTATAATCTGTAAGCTAAAATTTACCTTTCCTACCCAAGTTGGTTTTTGCCAGTGTCTTATCACAATAACAGAAAGCAAACTAGAACATTCTGTAACCCAAACTGGTCTCAAACTCTTGGCACTCTTCCTGTCTCAGCCTTCCAAATGCTGAGATTACAGGCATGAGTGACTACATGTGACAAATCCTTTCTTCTTTTTTGACCCTCTATGGTCCTATCCATCCTCTTGCTGGACCCCCTCCTTCTGCTTTCATGACACACATATCCCATGGCCTACCCACTTTAGATCTTTCCTAGTGACTACATGTGACAAATCCTTTCTTCTTTTTTGACCCTCTATGGTCCTGTCCATCCTCTTGCTGGACCCCCTCCTTCTGCTTTCATGACACACATATCTCATGGCCTACCCACTTTAGATCTTTCCCTCCGCCCACTGTCCTCTTGGTATTTTCATGTCCTACATATGTATTTATATATGTAGACATATAAGTTTAGGTCTAGATTCTGTATATGAGAAAAAATGTGGTATTTGTCTTTCAGAGTCTGGCTTATTTTACTTAACAATACCCAGGTCTGTTCATTTTCCTGTGAATGTTGTAATTTCCTCGTTTTTTAAAGCTGAATAAAGTTACGCTGTATATGCATACAAATATGTGGCTGTTTTAAAGGCATTCTCCTGTTTTAAAGGGTGATTTCTATTCCAGCCTAGGTTCTAAGTGGCATAAAAGCATGATTGGGTCTCTCTTGTGGGAACAGTTGATGTACAGAGCTGTGCCCTGAACATAGAAATGATTGATTGAAAGCATGTTTCTGAAGAATTGGTTGCTTTGGTTCCAAGACCTCTTGAATTTTTTCTACTAGTTCAAACTGTGAAGTAAAGACATAGGCATATAGCTCAGTGGCAGAGCACTTCCCTAGCATGTGCAAGGCCTGGGCTCAATCACCAGAATAAATCAATAAATAAGTAAGAGTGAATGAGTACATAAAGGTAATAAAGGCCTGGCTAGAAGCCAAATAGTGCCCATCTATAATCCAAGCTACTCAGGAGACTGAGGCAGGAGGATTGCGAGATTGAGATCAGCCTGCACTACATAGCAAGGTCCCTTCTCAAAAATAGTAATCTGGTTGGTTTGTAATGTACATGTCCTTCCTATGCCCTTTATTTTTAAACTGTAGTGATTCATTTTGAAGACAGGAACTCCTGATTTCTTGATAACAGGAACAGTCTTTGTCACTGGGGATATTTGAACCACCAGGGACTGTGTCCAGCAAACCATGGCTACGACCAATGGAGAAGGAGCAAAGTGCAGCCATATTCAGTGAGCTGAGGAAGGAAAATCCTGCTGGAAGGGTCAGTAAGAGACACAAGAAGCAAGGCTACTCACGGAGATTCAGATCCTTTTCTTTTATTATATAGTACAACTGAGCATGCTCCAATTTCCAGAGCCTACAGTAATTCTTGGCTGGAAAATACATTCTATGAGTATTTCTTGAATAAATGAATGAATTAGTCTATAAAAATGTGCTCACTCATTCTAGATAACAAAGATTTGCCTAAGCTTTATACATTTCAAAATCCAGTCTGCTTTGAAGTGCTTCCCACACACATACGTATTTTTGAGGCAAGGTCTCACTCTGTAGCCCAAGTGAACTCATAGCAATGTTCCTGCCTCAGCCTCCCAAGTGCTGGGATTACAGGCATGAGCCACCTCACTTGGCCAAGGTCTTTCAATTATAATTCTCCTAGAAGTAATTTCCTTTTCTTTCCCCATGTCGAGGGATGCATGATGCTTGGCTCCAGTGGCTTTTGATATATTTTCCATACAACTAAAGCACACTTAATGCCTGATGTTGACCTTATGCTATAAACCACTGATATTTTTTGAAAATACACTGAGTAGATCAGCATGACTAATGACTGAAAAAGTTGGGTATGTGGCACTGAAAGAGGAAAGGCAAACTGCTAACAGCTATTATAAGGGTTCGAAGTGCTGTTTTGTGAAAGAAGATGTGGGTCACTGAGTACAATGCCAGATGACAGAACATGGGTTGGGGATTGAAAGGAGGGCAATTTTAGACAAAAGTAAGAAAGAAGACTAAACATACCTGAGCTGTCCCACAGTCTAACAGTCTGCCCGCATGCTGGTCCAAGTAGATGTTGATTTATCGAAATATGGGGAGAGATGATTCCTGCCTCGAGAAGAAAGCAGACTGACTGCTAAGGTGCCTTCCAACTTAAAACACAGTCTACTCCTTCTCTAGTGATCACAAAAGGAAGCTGTATTTCTTCCCCCTTTTGACTGAGACTTGGAGAGTTGAGCTTATCACATTCCTTAGTTCTCAATTCACCATGACCACTGGTCTATACAAAAATCTTTTTTAAAATTCATTTTATTTTTCTTCCTTTATTCCTAGTTCCCATTCTAATGTTCCCTCTATATAAGTCAGCTTTAATCTTTTGATATAAGGCCTTAGATGTATGTGTAGCATACACAGCACTGGCTGTGAACATGTGTCTCTGGCATTTCTGAATAAAATACAGTGTCATTCCTTCAATTCCATTATTGCTTTTTTAGACAGGGTCTCCCTATAGCCCCAGCTGGCCTGACGCTCACTACATAGACCAAGCTGGCCTTGATCTCATAGCGATCCGCCTGTCTCTGCCTCCTGAGTGCTGAGACTAAAGGCATGTACCACCACTCCTGCCCCTAAACTATGTATTTTTTTTGAGACAGGGTCTCCTGTTATTACTTCTGTTCCTGAAATACTCTTTGATTCTATCCACAATGTTGAGTGTACATCTAGTTCAGTGCCTCTAACGAACACATGGCATTCTACAGTATTTATCTACCACATTTTGCTTACCTATTCCTCTAGAAGTAGGCATCAAAGTGGGTTCCACTTTCCTGCCAGCAGAAACAACACCGATGCGCAACTGTGAATGAGTGTCCCATGGAACAGGGAGGATTTCTCTGAGCCAGATGCATGGAGCATAAGGTGTGTTCATATTTAATTATTATGACATGAAACCTATCAAGTGTTTTTATTCCCCCTTATGCTTTGTGCTTTTCTGGTTCTTGTCTAAGAAGTGCTTCCCCACTCCTAGGTCATGAAAAAATAATCCTATGCTTTCTTCTATTGATTTCTGAAAAACTTTTACCCTCTGAATTTAGGGTTTTAAAAATCTAGAGGATTTCTTCTTTTTCACTGATGTATATCCAGTGTCCAGAAGTCTTCTATGCACAGTAGATACTCAATAAATATCTGTTGAATAAATTATGAATTCAGATGGAATCTTTATATATGACAAGAGGTATGAATCCCACTGTATTTTTTTCCAACTCTATTGAATTAGTTTTCCCACCTCTTTCTACTTAATAGTTCATCTTTCCCCCTCTGATTTATAGGTACTTTTTAATATATTTTATTAGATTAATTTCTAACTATTTTCAGTTGACATAAATTATATCTTATGTTTTATTTTTTTTCTAATAGTCTGTGGTAGTGGCAAAATAGTTTTTCATTAGATCTACTAGTTTACCTGTTGATTTTGGTTTTTTATATGTAAATGATTTTCAGGTGTATATAATAACATTTAGCTCTCTTTTCCATACTTACATTTCTCATTTACAGGTTTACTTCAGTGGCTAGGGCTCCTAGTATACAGTAAACACTAGTCATAGTGGACATTCTTGTGCTGTTTGCACCATTACAGGGAATGCTTAGAAACTTTCTTCATTTAAGCATGTTGTTGTAGGTTTTTAGTAAACAGCCCTTTTAAAAATTATTTTTATGTGTATGAGTGTATCTCATACATAACTGCATTGTGTAAGTGCACTCATGCCACACAATGCCTGCAGAGGACAGAAAAGGCATTGGATCCCCTGGAACTGGAGTTATGGATGGCTGTTAACTGCCTTGTGTGTTCTGGGAATCGAATCCAGGTCCTCTGCAAGAACAGCCAGTGCTCCTAACCTCCGAGTACTCTCTCCAGTCCCTTAGTAAACAGTCTTAATCAAAGATATTTTAGGATTTTTATCTGAAATATTTGAAATTTATTATGCTGTTTTTTCTCTCCTTTAGTAACCTGAATTACATAGGTTACTAAAATAAATGAAATAGTTATCAAACTATCCTTGCATTCTTAACTTG